GGATTTTCATCTAACGTTGTTCTGCAAGGAACCATCGCCAGACAAAATCTTCGTTGAAAAAAGTACTCAAATCGGTTAATCCGTTGGGAGCTATGATCCAACTGAGACACACACACATGCTAAATTTACAGCAACCGTCCTTTTAGAATCCGGGCTTAAATACTAAATGCAATTTCACCAAATGTCTGAACATATCTTGCAAAATTTCACTGCACTATAATATCCGAAGTTTGCGTTTTTGCCGGCGATGGCAGCACTAATCGGAAGGATGAATGGTTATTGCAGTTATCTGCCTAACAAATAATACCATATGCTGCGTTGTCAAATCTTCTGTTTAGTCGCCAACTTTACAATTTTTATATTTTTATACGTAGATAATATATTTTTACTTATCTCTCTAAAGTCACCGTTGGGACTGAAACCTCGTTCAATAAAGGAGAATTTTAAACCACTGGTTTTGATTGGCCAGAGAAACATGGGGGGATTACCAACATAAACAGGATATGTTTCAGATTTTACATTCCACAAGACACTGGCATCGAAGCCACCTTGATACAAACTGATTATCAAAAATTCTGACAGAAGATTGTATATATGCCATCAAAGCCGAGGTCATTTTCCCTATGAGATATCCCTATCATGTATACTATATGATTCAATAAAAAATAATCTAAAGATACCGTTTCCATTTGAACCAAATCTTACGTGAATTCTCTGGGACACTTTTTATGGTTCCATTTGTATGATCTCCATTCTATATTTTAGCAAATTTTATAAGAAATGGTGAGTGACCTTGTTGAAATCTGTTAAATGATGTTAAACGGGCAGGTCATACTTTGTCATCAAACAATTATGCACCCATTGCGTGCCACCTAGTGGCAATGGGCTATATCGGATGGTTTGGATTGCGAAATGTGATGTATTGATCTGAATTTAAAATTTAGTACACAGAAGGTTTTACCATAGAATACCAATTGTACATAAAAAAATTGGCAACACTGTAACCGAGGAGAGGTGAAGCTCCCGAGAGGTGGTAACATCTAACGAAAATAAAGGACTTGACAAATATACATATTTTGTTTTGCAGAAAGGATTTTTGAAGCGCCTGAATTTTGTATTCCATAGTATTTTTAGTTAGTGGGTTCATCTTTTTGCTTCATAATGTTGCAAAACAGCTATTTTTGAATACCTGACTTGCCTAAACGCTATCTCAGTTCTATGGACCTAAAAAGATACGGTCAATTCAATTTATTAAAATAAGTAACAAAAATGTTGGCTTGTTGACTGATAAACTGAATGGGAGATGGGAGGGATTTGAGCTGGGTTATTCCAGCTACTGTTAGTGATATTAAGACTATATTTTTACTTTTGCAAGAAGATAACATACCACAAACAAGTTATGCTGCGCCGACGATTTGTTGTATGTATTCTAGTTAGTGTGTTTACGGTATTTTCAGAAATTTTGTATTTAAATATTTAAGAATCTTGTAGCTGGAACTACCAGGTATATGTGTTGCCTATGAAATTCAGCAGCTATATTGAATTGAAATTGAAGCCATATTCTGGTATTACATTTTTGTAACAGTTGAAGATATTTTTTAATATTTCCAATCACAGGAGAAGCATATTTGTAGTACATCAAAAGGATGATATGCTCAACATCTTAAATCTACATTTTTGTTGCAGGAAGGCACAATGGCGCCAACGATATTTGCGGTTGGTAATTTTTCAACCTCATTGGAACTTCTAACATTTAGCTTATTATTGCTTCTTAAATCCATTGTATTCGAAAATGCTCAGAAATCCTCAGAAAGGCAATATTTTATTATAATATGAGAAGAAAATAAGTACATGGCATTTATAATTAAGTAGTGCAATAATGCTGAAGATAAAAACATAAAAAACTACATTGCTCTGTTGACCGAAAAAAAAAACATTCTGAGGGACCCCGAGACATATCCCAGTCCATTCCATACAAAACAATGTGTTTGATGGCGAAAACGAACATGAGACCGGAAAATTCACATTATCGTATGGACGCTGGCCGAGACAAACAAGGATGTCTATACCATCTATAGATCGTGTCTTGAGACCGTCTCCAGACTGCCTATAGACAAATTGCGCAACGGGGTTTACTAGTGTGACCTAAGCTTAAGGATTAAGACTCTGAACTGCCCATTATATAAATCAAGTAATTGGTGCAAATACTGGCACAATCAAGCACTTCTATTATATCAGCAGGTGATAAAAATATCAATATCATTTATTTTTTGCAAAAATTTGCCAAACAGTGGCGGATCCAGGGGGGTATCCTGTGCGCACGACACCCGAAATTCCCCTCAAATTCATCATATGGACCCCTGTGCCAAAGTTCCAGGATGTCATAATATCCATTAACAAGCTCCCAGAGCGTTTAAGGGTATTCTTTCGTAAACCTTGTTTTGAGTTGATTAAGTCTAAATAGAATATATTCTACGTTGAGTGCTCTCTCGTTAACCACGCGCTTGATCAACAATTGAAAAACAAAGGTATCCTTTAACCCCCAAAATGCTTTAGGATTTTGTTAAAATGTACGCTTCATCATGTTGTTTATCGGAGCCGAAAATGGCATATTTCAAACTTATTTAAATATTAAATCGCTTATGTATCGAAAAATATCAACTTTTCATAAGTCTTCTTGTTCGAATAACCCAAAATATCTATTAGATTAATCGAAGCGAAAAAATAGATGTTTTTTAAAAATAACTTGAACAATTTTTTATACAACTGAAGATAATAATAATAATATTTATTCGCCAAAATACAAAAAATGGGCAAATAAATATGAAAAAACCACAGAAGGCATCGCCTGTGTAAGGTTTATATCTTAATAACTAACAATCAATCATATACATTATGTGTATAACAATTATTGTTAAATCTAAAAAGTATTAATATAATTGGAATTTTGTAGTTTTAGTTTTTTAATTATGTATAGTCATTAGCTGCTCAGTACAAACCCAGTCTTTCAATTTTCGTCTAAATTTTTTTTCATTATACTCGTATAATTTAGCTGCTAAGAATTTAAATGATTTTTTGAATAATGTTTTGTGTGGTCTTTGGATATTAGATGAGCCTATTCGAAATCGTGTGTTATGCTCGTATTTATAGTATTTTTTTTTTATTACAATACTTATGGTATAAGGAGGTGGCATGTAAGAAATAAGGTTATCTTGTATCAAGTATCCCTGTTTCCTGATATAAGTTGTTCGTCGGATATAATCTTGGCTTATGGAAAATGGCTTTCAAAACAGTTTTTCGTGCTATATTCAGGTCAGAAATATATGTCTTGCAGGCGGCACCCCAGGCTGTGATGCCGTATATTATATGGGTTTCAACTAAGGCATGGTATAGGATTCGTAGATAACTTTCTGTAAGAATGTTAGCAAGCATTTTGAGTTTATAGGCAACATTTCTAATTTTTTTGATAACATATTTAATATGGTTATCCCATCTTAGATGTGAGTCCATAAATCCTGACTTGAAAGGTAATTTTTTAAAAGGATGATATTGTCATCAAAGTTCTTAGCTATTTCTACAAAAAAAAACTAAAATCGCGGAAAACGATCTGGATACAGACACGAAGCCCCAAAAGCATATCGAAACAGTTCGTTATTGCAATACGACTGCGCAATTTTGAGTTTTTTTTCAAATGCGATTTGTAAAGAAGTCGATTTACCTGCATTTGAACAATTTACTTATTGTTGCAAGAGCTATAACCCACGTAAAGACCAAACTTTAAGAGTACGGTGTATTTGATTTTTTCCTTTGAAAATGTGGGCTTGACCTTAATGGTTATGGTCAAGGTCACATTTAGGTGATTCCCAAAACTTCACAACCGAGCCGTCGAACATTTTTGCTAGAACAAATTGTTTTCTGTTTTGATTTGCCCTTGACATGTCCTTGAAGGAATGGTCGACGTAAAAAAGGGGACCTTCCATTTTAAAATATTTACTGTAAATAAATGACAAATGTCGTGGTAAGGTCACAATCATTTTGGCCCCTCTAAGCCACACCTCTGTTTAAAACGTCTTTTTTTAAAATGCAGTTTTGAGTCAACATATTTCTGTAATTCTGAACTAGTTGATAATTTTATTAATAAATCTGTACAACAAAATAGCAATCCCTGCACAGTGATGCCATCAATATACACACATCATCAAAAGTGTTGGAGCCCCTGTATAAATCCGTCTAGAGGTACGTTATCTACATACTGTTTGTGAATAAAAAATCTTTATATATTTAGCAAGCAAAAAACGCAAAAAACCGTTGAGATAAAAATGTGTTTGAATTTTTATAGAAATAAGTCAGTTTACCGGTAGTGTTTGAGCAAAAAGTATTAAAATAAAATTTTATACTGTAACTTTTAAAATGCCGAGAGCTGAAATTTCTGTTTTTGATAGAACACGAATAGTATAGCCCTCTTCCAAGCTGGATTTTCAAATCACCGAACGCACTGCTAAGATCTAGAGGACACCGAACTGGTTATTAATTGTTTTATTTTTCTTTAGAATAATTGTTTTTCTTTATTTTTGATTTTTAAAAATAAAATTTTTGGTACCTGACTTGTTCAAGTTTCTTTTTCTTTTCATATTAATGAAATTAATTTAACGTTTTGTTAAATAAATATAGTAAAAATATTTCCAATTTAAAATATATCAAAGATTGAAATTAGAAGGCTATAGTTTCCCAGTTCGCTAGGGGGTCCAACACTTTTGATGATGTGTGTATGTCTGAAATGAGAAACATGCGTTACTTTCCCATGCATTTACCTTATACTTGTCCTGATCTCTTTTGGAATTTCTTTTCTCTCCAAACAGAAACTGGAACAACACATTTGTGATGTAAATATATTCTCTGCGTTAATATAACCTAATATCCTAATATATAGAATAACATGCTGCCACAAATAACACCTTGCCTTAGGCAAATGCGTCGGAGGTTTTCAAATAAACTAGATATTCAGCGAACTGCATAGTCTTTATTAAAAATATAAAAGTATGATTTGAACAAGGTTTCTACACAATACACAATCTTAAAATATAAGGACTACGACTGCTTTTATTACACAGCTCTCTCAACTCATCATTAAATTCAGTTATTTCATAAAATATTTCAAATGGTAGAGTTTAACAACTTTACCCTACATGTCACAAAAGGTAAAGTGCAGAAATGGTAAATTTATGCAACAATAATACTAATATTAATATAAGACATAACAAATATCACAAATACAAAATAAAAATATGTCTTGTTTGTAGCCACAACAGAAAGGCTCAAAATATAAATACAGCATACAGCAACTTCCACTAAAAGAGTTGCTGTATGAACTAAAGCTAAAAAACAGAACTTACAATTTACATGAGACATAAACTTAGATAACTTCTAAGTATCACTTTGGATACTAGTAACTTTTACGTTCCTAAAATACACAACTTACATTGAGATACGATCTGAAATCAGAATATAGCTATAATGTATTTCACTTTTATAAAAAGTTTCGTTATTGTTTTTCCTGGCTAAGCAAAAATTGGAATCATTAGGACGCCATACGAATAAGCGATCGCAAATAGAAGCCGCCTCTTTTTGGAGGCACTATACCCTCTTCTGGTTTAACGCAACCTTTCTAACCGAGCAGACGTTTGACTTTCTCATGTGGAATAAGTTAGCTGAACAGAATTTTTCGGAAAATATCAGGGTCTATAGGCGAGATTTTCGGCCGTAAAAATAATTCGAATTTCAAGTTGACCTCATCTACGAAATTTTTGCATTTGAATATATGCAGAACATTTGTATTTTAAACTCTCATCAACATTTTTCTTTTAATTTTAACTCTTGATTGTTCTTTAGAGGCTCAAAGTTCGCAATTATCGAATATTTAAGTAGGTACTTCTAGATCAACGCAAGATACAACATTTTTTATTTCAAAACCTTAATAAAATACTCTAAGACAGAGAACTTATACGAAATTGAAGTTGTTGTTTCTCTGCGCTTACGATCAATACACAATTATTATAATTGGTTTTTAATGTGAGCGCAGTAGAGCAATATTTTAACTGTTATATATTTTCTGTCTTATGGATCCTCTTCACAATCAGCGATTACAAACGATTACGCTCGAGCTCGTTTGTGTAGAGCGCATACTCAGCTGTACTCGCCGATCATCGTCTATGATCGCCTTCGACCCGTGAATTGTCACGCATCAAAGGGAATCGCCGGGTCATATTGATGCTTGCCGTTTGACTAACTACTACAGACGTTCGTGTGGATGCTTGCACGATGATCGTGTCTATTATCATTGATCACACGATCAACGATCATCTCTGATAGTTAAGTGCAGGCATTAGGCACGATTTTGCTATTGACAGGCGGGAATCAAAATATGGAGAGAAGTCTTTGAAATAACGGATCTAATGAAATTGGTCGGCTTCTTATAAAATGTCGCTCAAACCAGACAAAAATTATACGATTTGTGTAAGACGACCTTCTATCAGATCTGTGTCAATGCTTCGAATATCGCTTAAATGTTTATTTTTCATTGGTGGTAATAGCAATTTATATGTTTAAGACTTTTAGGTCCGATTTTACTAATCTGGGGCGCAAAAAAGCACGTCTATCACAAATGCAACCAATGGGAAGGCGTCTTTAACGCAATAGATCTAATGAATATATTTCTTGTAAAATGTATCTCAAACTTGAGAAAAATTATACAGTTTGAGTAAAATAGGCCCCTAATGCTCAAATTAAATCAAGAAATATGTCATAAATCACTTGGTTTAGCTACAAAAAAACTTATTTTTCCATTTGCGTCCGGAAATTAGCGGCCATAGTCATAAAATGTGCCAATGAAAAAGAGGCAGTTGCACGATACTAGAAGCATGAACACAAATCTGATACAATATCTAGATTGATATGACAGCAATTAAATTTGCATTTTATTGAAAGTAAGAGTGTCTTACTGTTGCTGTACAAAATTCTGCTTGATAAATTCTTTGAGGGCATAAATAAAATTACAGAAAACATCTCGCACCCTCTACTGGGCAGTAGGACAACTACTTCTATCCTTGCTACCGTCACCGCGGCGCAGCGTGGTCTAGTAGTTGTCCTCCAGTCCAGAAGAGTGCGCGGCATCGTCCTGCTAACAGTAAGTAAGTGAATTGGTTATTTACTCGATGTTTGTTGAAGAATATGTAATTTGATTTATGTCATGATCAGTAATGGCGTCATGTCAATCTAATGTTACAGGTTTGATCCATGTTTCGAGTAATCCAGAAATCCTTTTTGATTGATGGAATTTGCGTCAACTTTTGTGTCCAGACACAAATGAAAAATTACGCTTTTGTAGCTGAACCAGGTGATTTATGAAGTATTTTTGTTTTAATATGGGAATATCGACAAATCGAATAATTTTTCGTTAGATTGAGACATCTTAAAAGAAATCGACTAAATTCATTATATCCACTACTTGGCTATTCGCAACTCGCCCTCTCGTTTGATTTCCACCGGTAAATAGAAAAATCGGACATAAATCGCATATAACTCGAAAACAACGGCCAACTTCAGAGAAAAGTTACTAAACACCTGTTTTGTTCATACTGATTCAAAAAACCTAAAAACAATTTTGTGAAATTTGTTAAAAAACATTGACTAAATAAATTTGCACCGGTTTACCTCTTAATAGATGTCGAGAAACGTCCAGTAAACATGATTATGGAAAAATCCAAATCCCCCCCAAAAAAAAAGTTTTTGCCTCATCTATAAAGAAGGTGCAAGTCATTTCTACTCAAGCTTTCCACAATTGGGCACCTTAACGATAGCAAATGCTTTTCTTAGTCTTAGAATCCTAAATGTAAACTCTAATTATAATGGACTACTGTCCGCAAATTCTATCTGTTCAGCACTGTCATCATCTTCACTACTGCCTGAATCACTTAGGCTAGGAAAGAGGCGATAGAAAAATCTAGAAATTTGTGCCCTAACAGAAAACAGACAGGCTAATATCAAGGCTACGGATAAGACGCCAATAACCCACTTCATATGTACACCGCTTGTATGAAGCTCCGACCTGTCTCGTTTCGTTACAACATTAAGTTCATCAAGGCATCGAGATAAACTTTCCTCATATGCGAAAGGAAATTGAATAGCAGGAGATTTTGTACTCGGCAATTCTGTAGTTCCAAACGTATTACAATGGTCATCACATGAAATTGGATGGACCACAGAGACATTTATTCCTTTCAAATCACGCAGGATGGTATGTAAAGTAACACATTTGAAATCATTATCCCTAATATCGAGCAACGCCAATTTCTTCATTGTTATTTTAACGTCCAGAACATCCAAGTCCATTATATTATTGCCGCTGATGTTCAACATTTCCAAATTTCTAGTTTCGAATTTTGAAACCAGATTGACGTATTCAAAAAGGTTATATGCCACATCTAGTTTTTTTAATGTCCCGAAGGTGATCCAATGGAGCATATTAAACTGCCATAACCGATTGTGAGACAAATACAACTCTTCAAGAGCATCAATGCCCTCAAAAACACGTTCAGTAATTTGTTCAATTTGATTATAGCTGACATTAAGAACCTTCAGACCTGCCAGTGCTCTTAATGACGGCAATGCTACGAGTTCATTATGAGATAAATCCAAAACGGACAGATGAGCCTTGTCAAAAAAACCAGTTATATTATCTATTGCATTATAACTAACATTGAGATGTCTGAGATACGGTAAACCATTAAATGTTTCGCGAGACAGAACTGTCACGTTATTGAGGCTTAGGTCCAACTGATACAGACAATCCAAACCAAAAAATGCTCCTTCTTCAATATGCTTAATCTGTTTTTTGGGTATACGGAGACCAAAAACTTTAACCGAATCAAAACTAATGAAGCTGTTCCTCTGTAAGGTTTCGTCAAACGTTCCTGTGGCAAATTCGACTACATTTCCTTGATAGTCTGCTTCGTGTAGCCCAAAGCTGGCATTCTGTACTTTATAATCGCGCAAATCCTGGAACACTCGTACCTTTCCTGGAGATAGACTACATAATGGTGGACGCCGAGCTGGATTACCTAATAATACCCTTGGTTCAGGTGGTGTGGTCTGGCGCGACAAAGTCGCGCAGCTGATGAGTATAAGAAACGTAAATGTTTCCATGTTTTTCGCTGAAAATGAAAACATAATATATGTTACACACGCAGACTAAGCAATGATCCATTATTTGGCAAGCATTTTTGGATGCAGGTGCTCAAATACTTTAACTGTGGGTAGGGGTCATGGCAACAATTTCAAAGTACCTCTTCTATAGACCATTGAAACTATTATAGGCATGAAAATCGTGTGAAAGAAAATAGTCAAATTTTATGTGCCCAGCAGGGTTATCACAAATTACGTGCTGAAACGCCACATAAAAATAGACGTTTGTCACCCGTCTCTGGGGAATTTTGTCACCGAGTGACGTGACGCATACGAAAGAGATAAGACTAATCGCATGCGCTTAGGTTTATCTTCTCGAGTAATAGAAGCATGTACGCACCTATTATAGATATGTCACACATCACAGATTTCCCCGTACATCTGCCTCTGAAACATTATTTTCAGAAGACGCATCACGTGCCTATCGTTCGCACTTGCCGTGCCCCATGGGGTTAAAAATATTATATTTCGTTGTAGTGGATCCGAGGGACTTATAAAAGCAGGTAGCACGTACAAGGTGGGCGCGATTTTATCTATACAGGGTGTCCCAAGGAAAAAGGAAAGTACTTTTATGAGCAAACTGCAAGTTAACAAAAATCCGTTTTTGTGACAACCTTGATATGTTACTAGTGCATATTTTAAAATTATTTTAATCTATACAGTGAATTCCATAACTTCGTGCCAATTGATTCAAGGGGCGCCAGCGGTTTAGATACGGTTCTGAGATCCGCTAGGTTTTATTAAACATCAGTGATATATGGCCATTCAAGTTAAACTCAATATGGAATCGTGTTACCCAAGTTGCTGGAGCAACGTGCTTGTGACAAAATACTGGACCAGAGGGCAAACATCTATATTAGGTTAAAATGAGTCTTGTTAGTCGAAAAAAAATTCACCGTTTTCATGGAAGATCAGATTCTAAGTCTAAATCTGGAATATACTTTTTTCTTGGAGTTAGTAGCAATAACTCGAAAAGAATTAATAGCAATAACTCGAAAACTGCTGTGCTATAAACCTAATTTCAAAAAAAAAAAAGTTGTCTAGGAAAGCTATTTAATGATGTAGAAATATAGAAGATGTTCCATTTGAAATTTCATGAGAAAAGGTACATTTTGCCTTTTGAGATACCCTATATAAATAGAAAGACATTTAATCATTTCTTTCAGATCAGCTTGAAACTAGTGATAACAGGATTTTTGTGAACTAAAATTTTTCTAAGCATCTTTCAAAATGGCGAGCCGTCAAAGTTGGGCATTTTTTCAGACAGTTCTCTAAATACTTGAACAACTGACAATACAAACCATATGTTATATCATACCAAACTTCTTGTTTGTATACACCATTTCCAAACATGCAATAAAATATAGGGTGTTCCGATTAAAAAAATATATGTTGGCCAAGGCACGAAGCAGCACACCCTCACGAAGCAGATATCTTTACCAGTAGGCTCATAAAACTACTTTCTAATTTCGTTGCGACACCCTATATATACGGCCATTATCCTTGGAGTGTAATTAAATGAGTTTACTTGATTTCGTACTTCGTGAGGTATTATAATCAGTTATTATTGTTGCGAACTGAGGATTTTTTTCATTAAAATCTCAAGTAATGCACTAACGAAAATTGTACTAGAAGTCGAAGGCTTGAGAAGTATCGAGTCAAATCTGAAAGGACAATTTGAAAACAAAAGCATTAAACAATTTGCCGATTCGAAACCGCTTAACAAATATACCATTGATTTGGGCAGATAAAAAGACGACTACTACAAAATAATTGATCAAGACTCCAGAATTTTTCTCATTTGGCGACATCCGCCAGCCTAATCTTAGGAGTTTTGCATGTTATTATATTATACAGGGTGTTCCTTAATGATATGCGAATATTTAAGGGTGTGAATCTACATGAAAAATTAATGTCAGTTTGCTTTATAAACTATGATCAAAAAATGTTTCCTTACAAAAAGCCGGGGTGTTGAAGTTTTAGGAAAAAATGGAAACTAATTAATATTTTCAGAACCGCTTCAGATATTTCACTGATATTTAGTATGTCGTGAAAGTTAATGACGTTGCATATTTTTCAATGCAAAAATAATTTTTAGCTTTAATAGTGGCGTGCGTGCGTGACTTCGATATTTTTTAAGAAAAAAATGGTGCGCCAATGGTTTTTTGCCAAATGAAAACTATTTTTGAATTCCCCATTCAATTGTTCTTAAATTGTTTTCCTCCGATGCGCCATTTTTGAGTAATAAAAACTAACTCTAACTTGCAAAATTATTACTAATTTAACTGGAAAAATTAAACACATTATGGGTAATGAACAACACTAACTAACAACATAAACATACCATTAAAACCAACGAAATGATTACAAAAATTGTTGAAATGGCCCCCTTCACTTAGTATGCATGCTTCCGCACTCCTTCTCATGTAATTGCGCACCCGTTGAAATATCCCTGGAGTGTTTTTTAGTCTCATCACAAGCTGCAACTATTATTTCTCTTAATTCCACTACAGTGTTAATGGGACTTGTGTAAACCAGTGTCTTAAGATAGCCCCACAAAAAGAAATCTAAACTGTTGAGGTCTTGGGTCCTTGGTGGCCATTCTTGGGGCCCACCGCGGCCAATCCAATAATTTGGATAAACAGTTTGTAAATAATTACGAACCGCTACACTGAAATGCGCTGGTGCACCATCATGCATGTACCACATATTGTTTCTTATTACTAACTGAACATCATCAAGCAGCAAAGGCAACTGATGATGAAAAAAATTGAGGTAAGTCTGTCCGTCAAGAAGAATGGGCCAATAAAGTGGTTGCCAATAATTCCTGCCCATACGTTAACCGAAAATTGGTGTTGGAAATGCGTTTCGGTTACGGTATAGGGATTTTCTTCTGCCCACAAATGATTATTTTGGAAATTCTGAATGGCATTTCGAGAAAAATTAGCTTCGTCGGTGAACAGAATCTTTGATTCAAATTGCGGATTTTGTGCAATTTTTTGAAGATACCACTGACAAAAGGTCACACGCCTTGGAAAATCAATGGGAAGTAACGCCTGTACTCTTAAAATATGGTAAGGATATAACAAAAAATCCACTAAAATTCTCCAAACAAATGGATGGCAAATACTTAAGTATCTACTCGTTCTTCGACTTCGTGCAGCACCGCTTCCTCAATTTCAGGTGTTCTCACACTTAGAGGTCTACCTTCAGATATTCCTTTTCGGACAGAACCAGTTTCAACAAGACCACGATATATTAGAAAAGGTTCGACGATCTGGCAAAGTACGATCGGGATATCTCTGGTGATAATTCGTCTGGCTTGCTCACCATTACCGTCGGCAAGGCCATATACGTAATGCATTTCCGCCATTTCTGCATTTGAATAATTCACCATTATTAACAAGACTGTAAAAACTAGATAATGATAAAGAAGTCACAGCGAACAGATTTGAATAACAGAGACGGGTCAGATGTCAAAATCCAGTGACATATTGCAGAACAAGTAGATATTTATTTCTAAATTGCATTCTTTAATTATTACATTAATTTTTTCGGACAATAGAACGTTTTTATTTTTTTTACTCATTTGGTTTAAATTGAACGAGGAATTCTAAAATAGTTTTTATTTGCCAGAAAACCATTGGCGTACCATTTTTTTCTTAAAAAATATCGAAGTCAATACCCGTACGCACGCCACTGTTAAAGCTAAAAATTATTTTTGCATTGAAAAATTTGCAACTTTATCAACTTTCACTACTTACTAAATATCAGTAAAATATCTGGAGCGGTTCTGAAAATATTAATTAATTTCAATTTTTTTCCTAAAACTTCAAAACCCCGAGTTTTTGTAAGGAAACATTTTTGCACCATAGCTTATAAAGCAAATTAACATTAATTTTTCATGTAGATTCACACCCTTAAATATTCGCATTTCATTAAAGAATACCCTGTATACTGCTTAGATCTATTATTTTTCATCTACCTTGGTCTCCAAGTTATCGAAAAATGGCATCCATTCTATATAGTAATAAATAAATCCAACTGCTATTTCTTGTTCATTCTCCCACCTTTGTTTCGAATCCCAGCTGTGATTCGGTTCCACAGTACCTTATAGTTTATGAGGCATTACACCAAGCGCGGCTCCAGGAGGGGTCATGGGTGCAATGGGTGAATCTAGTTTGACCACCAATATTCACTACTTTTGAATCTCTTTGATCAATTTAATAAAACAGAGGCTTTTGCAAATATCTAATTGATACAAACTGGTAAAACATCACACAGATTTGGCAACCCTGATCAATTTTAGTGCATCGATGATGGCGTGGAAATAAGAAGGTTTCGTTAGTCTGGTTGCCTATACCTTCAGCTTGACGCAAATATAAAGTGATTCTGCGTTTTTCGGCTTGATAGCACTGCATGTTTGTTAGTGCATTACTACTAGTGAAGATCTAGAAACCGTAAAGCAACTCGCAATCGAGTACCAACCGCTCCTGGACAATAATACGCCAACCTCAATAATTGTGAATGAATATCTGCTGTGGATGGCAAAATGATAGCCAGTGCAGAATATTCCGCGGTCAATTCTTACGCTTATTGGAAATTGCGATGCCGAGTTGCTCAGTTACGCGAAAGAGAAACCATACTTGAAATTCTAATTGAAAAGTATTATATTGGTATAAAGAACATAGCTTTTTACATAGGAAATTTCTTTTTTCCTCCTTTTTAACGAATAAAATAAATTTGAAATTAAAAAAAACTTAAGGTACTAAACGGGAGGTAAATATTCCAAATCAAAATTTGGGTCACTTGGCATTTTCAATTTTTCAATCCAGAATATAGCCTAAAGCGTGTGTTAAATGCAGCAGGAGTTTTTAAGTGGTATGCCTATTAAGCAGGTACGTTTTTTTATGTACATGCATATCGCACTGGGTTTGACGATATGCGCTTGTTAAGTCAACGGGTTTGAGACATATTGCATTAATAGAAAAAATGAGTATTTTTTAGCTCTAATATTCACTTTAAATATATTGTAACACAGTATTACTCTTTATTTTATACGATTTTCTTAAATATTGAAATTTGAAAAAAATTGGTTGCAAAACCGGAAGTAAACGTTTCAAGTTATAATTTGGTGCAACTTTTACCATTTTTATCCTAGCCTTAAGTGTAAGAAAAATACACTAGATGTTTTGGAGAGGGATGCGTATTCACTAAAGAGAGATATTTTTACTTCCATACAGGTTAGACTGATAACGCTGTCTCTCCGTAGCGAATGCGCATCCCATTTTAAATCTTCTAGTGCATTTTTTCTAAATTTTGAATTTGCGCTGTCGCCATGTCTTCTCATAGGATTTTCAGGTACCTACTTTGGGGCCGGATCCCTTTGAGTAAAATGATTATTACAGCAGGATGCTAAACAAGGGCGAGAAAATACACAAGAAATAGCGGTTTACATTTCATGATTCAGTAACTTAATGATTTTGTCACTATCAAGTACTTTATTTTACGAAAAATATGTTTAGTAGTTTTGCGTAATTTCAATCAGATTCTGTTTCTTCTATATCCTGAAATATTGAGAAAAAATTATAGATGCGTCGCAATCATGCAAAGTAGAGCCTTTCATTAACCTGAAATTGTTTTTTAAGTGTACGCCATCTTCCTTTAACGTTGAAGCTGTATAGGAAGACAAAAAAGAAAAGAGTTGCTCTTCGGTATTGAACAAGCGATGATTTATCACATTTTGTTTTTTCTACGATTTTGCAAAATTAACTTAAAAAACGGTTCTGCTTTGTACAATGGTATATGTGGCCAAATGGTGGGTAGTAACACCAATTGGTAGGTTTGTATCAACCTTCCGAATATACTGTATAAATGTAAAAAGCTATTTCGGTAAAAAATGGCGAATCCTGCTCAACCATCATTCAAAGTTCGTCACCCCTATCCACAATTAAAAATATTTACCTCCCCCAATGGAATAAACTGAATAGCATACTAGACTCGTAATTGTGGCTTCCCTAATCTATGGAGTACTAAGTGGCTGAGGTTTTTTATAAAAAGGAATGATTATTTCAATATATTCTGAGTTAATAGTAGTATTGAGATAATAAAAAAGGAATCAATCGTACTTACATTAAAAACGATCCTGGTCAAAAATGATATGTGCAAAGCACGTGTCTATTACGGATGATGAGAGAGCACTGCAATTAAAAATGAGAAAATATTACTTAACTACACACAGTTCGCTCTCCTATAATCTCAGCTGAACCACCAGAAGAATGTCTTACCTTCTTTTTTAAACTGGTCACTGTCCACTTTTTTTAGAGTTGCTCACATTTCAGCAACGATTTGGAGAAGTGTCGCAAATACCACATCAGAAACAGAAATTATTGTTTCCTATCGTGGATGCTTAGGTTTCCCTAGTAGTGATGGGACAATTTCAGTAATGGAGAGACAAAATAAAATTCTAAATCCAAGTAGTAGGCCAATCAACAGAGGAATATAAATAAGGCTTTTGTAACGAAAACGTTTGAAGTAAAAGTGGAAGAGTATCAGACCCTTCTATTTTAAAATACATGGGATGTTCCGTTAATGCTATTAAACTATTCAAAAGTTATTTCTCGAAGAGGACGCAGTTTGTCATAACCTTTTCCGGGGTGTCTGTTTCCAAGCCTGTTCTGTGTGGGGTACCTCAAGGCTCTATCTTGGGTCCCTTACGTTTTTCAGTATACTCTGCAAATATTACTAGTAGTTTGAGATATTCAATGCTGATGATACCCAGATAAAATTTTCGTTCTCTCGTACAGATACAACAACTGCAGTTACATTATTAAATGGAGATCTTAGTAATTCGACAAATGAAACCATAGCACATCAGTTATCTGTAAATCCAACGAAGTCAAATGTTTTATTGTTCGGGAAACAAAGAGCGTGGCAGATTCATACCATATTTCAATTAATAATAAGGCTATTCCTCATATATCCGCTACTAGGAATTTAGGCTTGATTATGGATAGTGACCTGAGATTTTCAAAGCATGTTGATAAGTGTATTGGCCGTGCTGATGGTCGGCTTAAAATGTTGTTGCCATATCGTCATCGAACTTAAGGCTTTACTTTGTGATACGCCTGTTCTGTCATTATTCAATTACTCAGTTTATGGGCCTTGTATAACAAGGTATAATGTTGATCGTATACAGCGTGTCCAAAACTCTTGACTTAGGTTTATTTTTGGAGTGAAAAATTTTGAACGTATTTCTCACAAGTTACCTGTAATAGGATGGCTAAATATTGAAGCCAGGAAAAATCTGCACTCTGCAGTTTTGTTTCATAAAATTATTCTATATGAAACTCCGCCTGATTTATATAATAAGATTACATTTCGAAGTGATGTTCACAATATCAATGTTCGGTATCGGGAGGTAATTGCCCAACCACGTCATCGTACATCTACGTTTAACAGATATTTTTCTCCTTTTATCTACCACTTGTACAATCACGTAACCACAAACCTTTAGTCTATCTCTGTGCAGCTTTTAAAATAAGTTACAGACAATTTCTATTAGATGAATTGTAGTGTTTACTTTATATTGTTCCTTTCCTTTTAAATGTTTTTTTGTTAAATCTGCTTAAAATGATTTGACCTTTTCCGTTAAATAATATTGTTTATATAATTTCTTTCTATACGTATATTTTTTAGACGCTTGTAATTATCATTTATTAATTATTAATATTAAGTTATATAATTCGGTTAAGAACTCCTCTGTAGTAATTTTGTTTGTTGGGGTTCATTTTTAATTTTTCCTCTTTGTATTTTTTTGCTCTACAAATAAATGCTATTATTATTATTATTATTATTATTATTAATTATTATTATTATAAGCAACACCGTTTCCAATACGTGCAACACAAATAACCAGAGCATGGTCATATCGTACAAATTCTACGTACGCTCAACAAAATAGAGCGCCCACTATGGCACTAACAGAAGCCTCTACATTCTTAGATGAAAATGAAATGTCCATGAACTCCCTTCATACCAAATTTCATATTCATAGGTCAAATAACGTTCGAAAGATAAAAATAGACATGAAAGTGATACGGTTCCTCAGAAACATTCATTCCCCTGCCTAATAATTATTTTAAACGTAAAATTAAAGGCAAAACATACTTTACTTTTATGATGACTTAATTTCGGTCTATACAAAAAGTTGAAAAACATTGATCAAAATTTATCCCATTGGGAATTTCCAAAATTTTTATGTAACTGCTCATTAACACTATATGTATCAACGAACAAAATTAATGCAAGAAATAGTTCTAAATGGATTAAATTAATGTAACGTCTGAAACTTGGTCAATGGTTTCATGTTGATAATGCGCCAAACTTATCTAACCGAATCGAAAACTGCAGATTATGTTTAATTCTTCTTTATTGAACGACGTTTCAGTCCCAATGGTGACTTTCTTCATGTTCAATTGACATTTATTGATAATATATTATAGGCAGACAAATAAAAATATATTGTCAATAAATGTCACTTGATCACCGTTGGAACCGAAATGTCATTCAATAAAGACGAGTTTCAAACAAACAGGGTGTTTCACAACTTATCCAACAAATTTTAACCACATATGCATGCACTTTTACGAAAGAAGTTAATATCTCAAAAAAAAAAAATGTAATAAAAGTCCTACAGAAATCGAGGTGATAAATTAATATAGTTTAACAGTTCATCTTCTTATAAAAGCTTCCACAATATCCAAAATTTTGTCTTCGGCATTTAAAGCGCGTTTTGGGCGAACCCGACCCCCATCCACTCCACGTCTGGAGCGCAAATCTCTACTAGCACGTGCACATAAATCAATTGAACTAAATGTTTCGTGATATGGTATGTGCCTATTCGGAAATCGGTGTGCATACAAACAAGAAGCCGCTCTCGAATGTTGCCCTGAATCTCCGTACGCTAAAGCAATGTCCACTAACTCCTCATTAGTGTACACAGGTGCCATTTTTATTAATAAATAACTAAAAACATAAACTCGTAAGATACTTTCTTATTTAACTTCACAAAAATCGACCGTTCTTCATTCAGATCACCCACGATACAGATTAAACCTTATTTACACGTTGTTATCAGTATGAAAAAAACATCAAATTCCTGGTATTTTGTTTTCGTCAGTTGTTTGGTACAACATTTGCTACAATAAATGATTAATGCGTGTTCTAATATCATGACGATGAGCGCAAAATACGGATATTTATTTTTCAATTTATTATTGAAACTCAGGTTTATAACTTAATTTCTGTAGGTCTTTGATTACTTTTTTTTGAGAAATCAAGTTCTTTCGTAACAGTGCATATGTGGTTAAAATTTGTCGGATAAGTTGTGAAACACCCTGTATACGGTTTTGATTCGTCCAGGCGAGCATGGGGCGATTATGGGTTAAATTTCTCGTTTTAGTATACACTGATTTTCAGAAAGGTTCTGCCTTCCCTCTCCCACTATTTATTTTTTGGACGGGTCAAGTTAGGGAGCTTAAATTCGAGATGATGAAACTGACGCATGAATTCTATATTGTAACGTAAAAAGAACGGTTGAGTATGAAAATTCGCCGGGCTACATCCTGATGCATTTGTTTAAACGGAACGGGAAATTATGTTATTCTTTATTTTGGAGTCCCTTCCTAAAATACGAAGTCATTATCTCTCAAAATGTTGAGCTGGCAGGCTGTCAAAGTCGAGCGTTTTTGCAAATTGAATCGCTTATAACTCGACAACCAATCATCAAAACGTCATAGCATGTTATATAAATATTCTTCTTCTTGAAGGGTCCACCTGAATGTGCAATAAAATATGAAACATTCCGTTTAGAAAAAATGGCGTCAAGTAGGTTGACTCTGCACTTCCCACGCAACATTTTATCAGTACATAAAGGAATATGTTAAGCAGACTCTCTGAGAAAAGTCAGTCAATCAGCTCCATACAATTTGTCCATAGACATTCTTTCCCTGCCCCGCCGGTAGTGCATCTGGTAACGTCGCCTCTCCCCCGTAACTCGAGCAAACGTAGTACCATGGTAGGGCGGTCAGATCATAGAAACCACCATGATGTTGCGCGGCAGAAATACGTGTGATTTCATACCAGGACACTGATCACGGTCGGGGCACTACGTCAGCAGGATCCGCGGCGGATAGATACGCGATCCGTCTCCCGAGAATATATTTATTTTCAGGGCTAATGCAATGTTAGGAGCATATAAATGCACCGGTATCAACAAATTGAGGTAAACCCTTCCCAACGACTTACAACCCCAAGTTTTTTTACCTCTAAAATGTTTTTCAAATCAGGATCCTCTGATATATCAAAAAAAAATTTAAGCGATTTTTACTTTTTTCGTTTTCTCTGTCGAAAGTGGACCGATTTTGAAAAACTACAAAGCTTTTGCGTCCTTAGTGGTAACAAAGTCTAAAAATTTCATCAAAATGCGAGCGGTACTTCTCAAGTTATAGGCGGTTATAAGATTAGCAGTCAGACGAACGGAAATGAATGACATGTGTTTTCATGATGTACATGTCATATAATATCAAAAAAAACAATATCTCATTTTCGAGAATTTTTGCGAATACAATACTTCTCCACCAGTAGGCGTGGCAAGCGAAAACTATTCTGAAAATATGATTTTTTTCAACTGGCCCTTCTGAGTTACAATCATCTGCTTACAGGCTGACTGGGGTTTTGGAAGAAGTATTCATGCTATCAAAAAAAAATTAACAGAACTTTCATATTTCCAAAACATTCATGAAACATATGTAGATACTTGAAATGTCCAGAAATAATGGAAATGTTCATTAAATCGACCGCACAGCATAAAATATAGATTCAATCTAATCGACAACATTTTTTATCGACAAGTCGCTGTTTTATTTTTGCCTATTAGCATAGACAGTGGGATGTATCATTTTCAATACAACGAAATTCAAATTATGGTGAATGTATATCCGTGAAAATTTTTGTGCTTAAACATAAATATCAGTACAGGAAAATAGCACATATTTCTGCATTAAATATGTCATACGTTTACTCTGGGAAGTTTTAATGATTAACGAGGTAATTTTGATGACAATTTCCTACAACCCTAAAACAAAGGTGTTTGTAAGAACGGTGCCTGCTCTTTCATCAAAAATTCAAGGCAGGTATCACAAAACAGAAGTTGTATGACCTTTCTGAGCAATCAACATTGTCAATTTGGAGTGCACTCAAATGTTAAACTGTGAAAAATCTCTAAAGATCATTGTACGGGTATCTATGATGCTGCGAAAAACGCTATCTAATAAAAAAGAAACTTTCTGTAATGTTTGACAAGTCAGCAAGCTGAAATTCGGGTGGTGAAGGTGGCTCTATTTTATCGTATATGCTGCAAATGAAAATTTCAAGATGGCCTCTGAGCGCGTATATTTTTTTTAGATGGAATGGAGATCATGT